CCCCCCCCGCAGTGGTCGAGAATGCCCTCGACCGTGTCTCCCGCATTTCCCGCAACTCATCCCTCATACCCCCTCCCCGCAATAACAACCAAAACAGAATCCCCCTCATCCTCACGTACCACCCCACCAACCTCCAGATCCAACGCATCATCCTCCGACACTTCCGCCATCTGCAATCCGACCCCACCACCAAAGACATTTTTCTATCCCCACCCCTATCTGCTTTCCGGAGGGACCACTCTCTCCGTGACTCCCTTGTCCGCTCCACACTCCCCTCCAGCCCCACCTCACCCAGCACTTTTCCCTGCAACCGCAGGAAGTGCTACACCTGCCCCTACGCCTCCCCCCTCACCCCCATCCCAGGCCCCAAGAAGACTTTCCACATCAAGCAGATGTTCACCTGCACATCTGCTAATGTGGTATACTGCATCCGCTGTTCCCGTTGTGGCCTCCTCTACATCGGGGAAACCAAGCGGAGGCTTGGGGACCGCTTTGCAGAACACCTATGCTCGGTTCGCACTAAACAACTGCACCTCCCAGTTGCGAACCATTTCAACTCCCCCTCCCATTCTGCAGACGACATGTCCATCCTGGGCCTCCTGCAGTGCCACAACGATGCTACCCGAAGGTTGCAGGAACAGCAACTCATATTCCGCTTGGGAACCCTGCAGCCCAACGGTATCAATGTGGACTTCACAAGCTTCAAAATCTCCCCTCCCCCTACCGCATCCCAAAACCAGCCCAGCTCGTCCCCGCCTCCCTAACCTGTCCTTCCTCCCACCTATCCCCTCCTCCCACCTCAAGCCACACCCCCATCTCCTACCTACTAACCTCATCCTGCCCCTTTGACCTGTCCGTCCTCCCTGGGCTGACCTATCTCCTCCCTACCTCCCCACCTACACTCACCTTTACTGGCTCCATCCCCGCCTTTTTGACCGGTCTGTCTCCTCTCCACCTATCTTCTCCTCTATCCATCTTCTATCCGCCTCCCCCTCTCTCCCTATTTATTTCAGAACCCCCTTCCCCTCCCCCATTTCTGAAGAAGGGTCTAGGCCCGAAACGTCAGCCTTCCTGCTCCTCTGATGCTGCTTGGCCTGCTGTGTTCATCCAGCTCTGCACCTTGTTGTTTCTAATGTCTACCCATATCGTTTCACTGGATGATCCCTCAAAAATATCCTCTAATTACAGTAGTAATGTTTTCCTTAGTCAAAAACGACACTCCCCTCCTCTCTTGCCTCCCTGTCTATCCTTCCCATACCATCTAATACCCAGAACAATGAGCTGCCAGTCCTGTCCTTCCCTCAGCCAAGTTTCTGTAATAGCTATGACATCCCAGTCCCATGTTCCCATACACGACCTGAGTTCATCAGCCTTACCTATCAGCCCCCTTGTATTGAAATAAATGCAGTTTAATTCTTCTGAGTTACCTCGTTCTGACTTGTTTTTGTCTGCCTCATCATTGGACAATCCTCTATCTATATAGGTTCCTGGAAGAAACTCCCTGTTCTGCCTCCAAGGTATGTATACAATTTCTTAGATAAGATCATCAAAATTGCACACACTGTTCTAGCATGTATTATCTTACTCAGTTAACTTCAGCAGGACAGCTTAACCTTATTCTTATCCTTAACCTTATTCTTCCAATCTCTTTGCAACAAATGTCGACATGCCATTTTCGTTCTAAATTACTTGATGTACCACGTGCCAACTTTATGTAGCTAAGCTAGTATCTCTGAATGTAAAAATGTTATGCCTTTTTTTAAAAAATCTTTTCTATACTTATCAAAGAGTGAATAAAGCATAAACAATAAAAATCACATTCTCCCACGTCATACTCTATCTGTTATTTTGTTGCCCATTCACTTAACCTGCCTATATATCATGGTAGCCTTATTTTTTTCCTCACAGACTGGATTCACATCTAACTGTGTAACATCAAATTTTGATATATTATTTGGTTCTTTTGTCCTTTTCGTTAACAGTTTATGAATAACTTAAGTCCCAGAACTGATCCTTGTGGCACTCCACTCATTACAGCCTGCCAACTTGAAAATACCCTGTCCATTGATCAGTCCTCTTGCCCAGTTTATTTTGTTATTCCCAACTCTTGAAGCTCTTACCTTGCACATTGACCCTCTGTGTGGCACCTCATCAAATGCCTTCGTAAAGGCAAAGAATACTTCTTCTACCAGCTCTGTTTCATTTACCCTAGAGCCTAGAGTAAAAACTAAGCAGAACTTCTTTGTGTCTGAAAGAGTGTCCAACAGAATTCTGGCATTATTTCTGTTTACTCCCTGTAGATAGATGTGCACGGTGATGCCCAGATTTGCACAAAGTACAATGAATAAAAAAACTTACTTGAAACTAAAATGCATATTGTTGGGAAACATTGCTCATCCACAATGTATAGAATACTCAAATTATATGTTCTTCATTCAACAGTGAAAATCAGACACTAAAAGCCATTAGTCTAATATTTTGAAATGTTATACAGTTCCACAAAATTAATTGAATTACAAAGCATATATTTAATAATATTGTCCTGATTGCTTGCATAGTTAAAACTATAAATACTATACTAATAAAAAGATCAAGAATGAGAAAATACACCCATGAGAAAACTCCATTGAGATGCTGCAAGATTACATTTCCATCACAAACTCCAAATTAATTTACCATTCTAATTGTAATGTGAATTAACTTTAGCCAGTAATTTTCAAATGATCCTACTCCAATCCTCACTGAAAGTAAGATTTCTGGAAAATGAGAAATCAGTTATGTGGACTGTTTCACAAATCCATTCTCAGTGTTGCTTAGTCTGCTTGCTATTTTGAGGAATATAGTTGCCGAAGGATGAATTAAAGCAAGCCAAGTTTTTTTTTATTCCTCAGGTCGGTTAACCAATGAAGGTCATCAATATAAATTATGACTTGCAGTCTGGATTGTTGGTTTACGCCAGGATGCAGTAAATAAATCACCTAAAGTAGTACGTCAGCTTGTACTTTTGATAAGCTGTTTATCAGACCAGGAAAGAAAATTACTCAAGTTAGTGAAAATGTTTGTTCAAATACTGAAATGATTTTTTTTACCAGCTGGCAAGGAACATGGCATCAAGAAACTATAAATACGTCATAATCAGTTTCAGCAGAAAAACAACACTAATTACAAAAAAAAATGGTTTTCTTAAAGAAGCCCAAGTAGTAACTAATAACAAATATTGTTCATCACCAATTATATCCTATTATCGGAGCTCCCTTGCCCAGACCTAGTGGAAAGATTAAAGTTTAACCCTTTGGCCATGTTATGGTAATTGAGGAAGCTACATAAATTATATAAGTGATGCAGGTTAAGTCGTTAACTGTCCTTTCTCAGAATTGCCTTCTTCATTTATCAAACATTCCACACTGAGGCCACCAAGATCAAAAACTAGGCACTACCTCCTGCCACAATGGGATACAGCATGCAGCTGTGCACTGACACTGTTCCACCATGTATTACTGTTAACAGTGACCAGACTGAAGTCATACTGAACAACTACATTTTAAAAAAAAGTCAAAAGAACAGTCAATGCAATAAATTGTACCTTATTGGTCTCTGATGATCTGAATAATCTAGCTCGTAACTGTGAATAGAATCAGTGCAAGAATCCCGTGATCCACTTTGCTGATGCCGTGAAGAAATAGAGTATTGATGGACTGATGCGTTAGGCTGAGAAGTTGTATAATATGGAGGTGGGATGCTGTTGCTAGTCTCACTTCGATAATCACTGTCTCTGTCATCCACTGCACTATCAGGATCTTCATTGTCTGTAAACAATGAAAATCAGATTTCTAAAATGTTAAAAGTACAGGATTATAAAATAATACTAGTTTTAAGTAATATTGCATTTCTAAGTACTATAACAATCATCTATAAACTTACATTTTTTGTAATTTTGCACCCTTACTTGACAGTCCATGTATATCAACAATGTGCATTTGTGGAAAGTTAAGGAGAATATCTGATTGTAATAACATGGATTAACTGCAAATATCAAATCTTACTAGACAGTTAGTTGGTCTCAGGTTAAAGGATCTTGCCTGCATACATCTGTAAATTATAAAAGTTATGTATTTCCTTGCTCCTAAGAAAATTCTTTCACAAACTCCCTCATGGCTGCAGCAGGTTTTATCACAAATAGCTTAGGGAAGGTGGGTAAGGGCAGGTTCAAATTCAATGGTTGGTGCTGAGTAGTGAACACTTAATATAATACAATCCTTTTTTTTTTAAAAAACTAATTTTTTTTCTGTCAGTTTTTCTCCTCCCTTCACCCTCCTAAAGATATTGTTTCCTGTGATGCAGCATTGTAGAACTGATAGTCCACCAATACCTTACTCATTTTTCTCCATCTAGCCCAGAAGTGGCACAGTACCAAAATTAGCTCCTTATTACTGCCTCAATTGCGAATAGCTAGTTGAGCAAATATTGTAGCTGTGATTCAGATCTTTGTTGGTATGGCTCAGTTCCACATTAAATGTTGGATTTTGATCACTTACTATACCAAGTGAACCAGCCTAATCTGTGTTTAAAATAAATTAATTAATATTAGAATTGAATCTGAACCATTATATCAAACAAAAATAATAAGTTTAATAAAATTTCCATGTGTACAAGACAAATTATATGCAATAATTATGAATATAATTTACTTCAGGTTGCACCTCAAAATTAGGGATCTTCAAAACTGAGCATTTGCTGGATCAGGATATTCGCTGGATTATGGGAAGTTAAGGGTCGAAACAAAAATTAAATTCAAGTTACTCACTTTAGTGCCATGATCAATAAGTCATAATGAAACCTTTTAAGCCATCAAAAATATCAAGTATATTCATTACCACCACCAAGTAAAAACCTCACCTTGGCTCATATCAACAACACGAATGACTGAATGATTTTCTGATTGGACACTAAAAAAAAACAGGATTTCGGGTATCCAAACTGAACAAAGTGTAACAAAAAATAAAATAATTGAAGATCGATGCAGAGCCAATAAATGCCGTTGTAGAGAAAACCAGAAACATTATGGGTACCAGGCCAGAGGTTGCTGAACCACAGAATGTAGGATTTGATATGAGGCGAGATGGTGGACTAATGACCTGTCACTAACATACTGTGACATTTAGCTCCTACAACACAAAGGACAAGTTGTGGGTCACACAGTATTGAAGAATTCAAATAACTTTTAGTACAGCACAGCACATTTGTGTGCATATATTACATCACAGGCACATGCATGTCTGAGCTCAAGCTAATCAATTCAGATGTACTATAGCATGCTTCCCTTAGAATATCATGCTGCAAGAGACAAGAACTCAGTAAGTAAGAACTTGATATCATTGGGTCACACACCAAGATATGGTGGTTACATGGTAGGCATGTCCCTTAAAGGCATATTGGATATCTGTTGCAAAACAATACTGCAACAGGATTAGGGCGGAACAACCTGTACAGTTAGTGGCAGAGATTAGATTATGGTACATAATAAATTAAATAAAAGTGAAAAACTTGTGAATAATGAGAAAACAAATAATAATGATCCTTTGGTGATCAAGCTAAAATTTACCGATGTTTTCAAATGTATAATCCTGCCCCAGATCATAAGAACTCATTTGTCAAGCCTGCAATGTCATTCAGTGAGATCATCTGTATTGTAATTTCATGCACCAAATTTGGCTTGATATCCTTTTGTACCCTTAGCTAACAAAAAATATATTTATCACAGATTTAAAGTTAACTGAGTTAGCATCTACTGTATTTTGTAGGAAAGATTTCAAAATCTCTGGTATGCTTTACATGAAAAGGTGCTTCCTAACTTTTCTCCTGAAGAACTGATCCTGACTTTACAGTTCTGTTCACTTGTCTCAATCACCTCACCTGGGGCAAAAAGCTTTTCATGGTCTGGTTTCACCCTTCATAAAGGGAAGTTCATCCAAATAGCTGCTATTTTTATTTCACATTAAGTCATGTCTGCAAGTCATACTAACAATGCAGCAACTTTAAAAATTTCAGCCTTGTTTTCAAATATGTCAATGAGTCACACCTCCCAATAACCCAACAATCTGTCAAATATCTGACCCTTTGCATTAACTCCAATATGAAATCTCTCCATAATTGCTGATCATGACTTCAGCTCCTCGGCTTCAAGCTTTGCAATTCCGTCTTTAAATATTTCTGCCACTTTCTGCTCTTGTTAAGGTGCTCCATAATTCTTTCAATGACTACCTATTATAGTATTGCCTTGGATTGGATTTAAGGTTGTCTATAACACTACTTAGAAGCATTGTTTGGAGAGGGTGGGGGATGGGAGCTTTATAACTATGACAAAGATTTAATTTAAAATGCAAACCGGTGGCTAACATTTCCTTCCAAAATTCCAAAAGTGTCAGTTAAAATCACCCTTCAACTTTTTAAAAAGGCTGACGGATTAGTCCTGCTCCAGTGTTTTATGTTTTTACACTGGAGACAGTTCAGACAAGGTTTACTAGACCTATATCTGGAATGAGCGTGCTATCTCACGAAAATAGATTGGACAAGCTCGGCTTGTCTCCACTGGAGCTTAGAAGAGTGAGGGGTGATGAGATCTTGAATGGTCTTGACATGATTGCCATGGAAAGGATGTGCTGAGTCCAGAAACAGGAGTCACTGTTTCAAAAATAGGAGCTGTCCTTTTAGGACAATTATGAGGAGTTACTTTTCTTTCAGAAGGATGCACGGTTTTGGAATTCTCTGCCTCAGAAACTGGCGTAGGCAGCATAATTGATTTCTTTTTTAAGAGAAGGTGGAAGTAGATAATTCCTGTTAGACAATGGAATCAAAATGTTATCGGGGTAGATGGGAATGTGAATTCAAAACACAAACAGTTCAGCCATGGTCTTATTGAATAGCGCAGCAGGCTTGAGGGGCCAAATGAATTATTTCTGCCCTAACTCATTTGTTCATTAGATTACTGTTCCAGTAACTTAAGGCCAGAGCTACAAGTTCAAATCATCATGATTATTTGGTAATTTAGATTCAATTAATTGACACATTTGGAACAAAACATGAATATCTGTAATAGCGAGCATGAAAATATTAGATTGTTATTAAAACCCAAGTTGTTCACTAATGCCACAAGGGAAGGAAATCTGATATTACTACATTGTCTGGCCTAAATCCCACTCCAGGCCCACAACAATGTAGTTTACTTTAACAGACCTTGTGAATGGCCTATTGAACCACTCAACTCTATTTAAAAAACCCACCGAAAACTGTACCTCATATGGACTGCAGTGCTGCAAGTCAGAAGTTCACTGTCAACTAAAGGGAAAGCAGGGATGGGCAATAAACAACAGAGACACACATCCTATGAATGAATAAACAAACTAATGAAATGGCTTACACATAGAAGATGAAATTTAATACAGAGAAGTGTAAAAAGGTTCATTCTGGTAGGAGAAATGAGGAGAGGTAACATAAACTAAGCCATACAATTTTCAAGGATATTCATAAACTGGATAACCAGGGGTGTATACACACACACCTTTCAAGGTGACAGGACAAATTAAAGGGGTTAAGAAGGTACGTGGGATCTTGGACCTCATACTAGAGATAGAACAAAAAGTTATGCTAACCCCTTTTAAGCTCCAGTTGAAGAATTGTGGCTACTTCTGGGCACCACACTTTCAGAAAGATGTCATGGTTTTAAAGACAGAGTGCAGAGATTTACTAGAACTTACTAGATATCAAAGACTTCAGTTACACCAAGGAACTAAAGAAACTGGGGCCATCTCCTTTGAAGCAAATAAACTCAGGTGTTAGTATAATAAAGGGCTTTGATACTTAGTGATGACCAGACAAGTCAAGAATTGCACAGCATGTTCTAAAGATTTATATTTCATTGCCAGAAAGGATGTTGGAAAAAGATTTAATAATAACTGTCAAAAAGAAAGAAATATATAAATACCTGAGGGGAGGATGGGGTGGGGAGTTGTAGCACAACAAGTAAAGACAGGAAAAATGGGACTATTTGGATAACCAGCGTTGTCACAGTACAAGGAGCCAAATGGCCTCCTATCCTGCATCATTGTCTGATTCAAACTTCTAACTATGCACAGCTGTATAAAGTGATTATAAAAATTTTATCTGAACTGTAAACATCTGTTTGCATAGAAATCAAGGCTCTGTTGGTGATGGATAAAATTTATTAGCGAAAAATTCCTGGACTCAAGAAAAACCAAAACAACCAAAAAGTGTTCTAACCAAATACATAATACAATAACCCACAAATTTTATATGCAAGCAGCTTCTACATGTACAATTCACTGTAACATACTATAAGATATTAAAAAAATCAAACACTGCTGAGAATTTTTTGAAAACAGTGGCTCTAAGTAGGTCATTAGTTGGCAATGGGGTAGTGAGCCCTTGATACACATGATTAATTCCCCACATGGCAAGCTATAAACCATGGAAACATTATTATGGGGGAGCGTGGAACAAAAACTCATTCTTTTTTCTAAAAAAGCAGGGGAAAATAATTATTCAAGGTCACTCCAGTACATTTTAAAGAGTGAGTCATTGAAAGGTAGAGTTCTACTGAAGTTAGCTTGAAGGCTGCCTAGAGGCAAATCAGTGAAGGGATGTAAAATATTTTCCATATTACATACCTAAATAGTACAACTTACAAAGTACGTGACGTTACCAAACCCACTTTCTTGTTTCCTTTTCACTGCTCCAGTGGTGCAGTTTAACCTCCTGCTAAAATCAATACTGTCGTAAACCTGCATTGATTCAAATTGAGACTACTACATTGTCCACTTAGTTCATAGCACCACAGAAAACTAAACAAAGACTTCCACAAAACAATTACTCATAACAAGGATTTAACAATGGAAAATTATCTTCATAATTTTTAACCTAATGCTTGGAAAATGGAAGAGCTTCAGAGGTAAAGTGCAATCAAGAGACGGTTTCATTATGTGTCCAGTTAGCTTAAAGAAAAAGTACTAATGTCTTATACAAACTTTCCATATTATCTGGGTAAAACACTGTTATTGAAATAGGAAACAAGTCTACTCCTTACTGCTAATGATCAGTAAATACAAAAATAGAGAGTTATCCACCAGACTACTCACATTAAATTTAATTTGCTTTGTAAATGAAGGCACAATGAATTACCTGCTAAAGGCCAGTTTGTGAACAGTGTTTCATGTTTGCACTGCCATTACCAAAAGACAAATCAGGTAATGGATCTGATCAAAATGGATCTGATCAAATTGATCAAAATAGAACAATTTTGATTAATTGGAAAACGAAATGTTAAGCTTGTGACTAGCTAATAGAATGGTTAGAACATTTTGGCATGCATCTACCCTTCTAGCTATTAAGTTTCACTGAAATTAAATTCAAATTTTAATGCACATTTATTAGTTATCAGCATTAACGTACAAATAGATGCCCTTTTCTTGGAAAACACATAATCTGGTCCATTAACCTCATATTGTAAAATCTGTAGGTCTGTTGTATAGTTGTTATCACTAGCCCAGTGTATCCTGTCATCCAACCTACATATTTGACTGAATCTGTAATCTAACAGAACAATAAATCTGGAGTCAGCCAGAAGCAAAATAATTACATACTTTGTTGGTCTCCCCAGCCGAAATAGCTCCAGTTGCCTGTGGGGTAGCAAAGGATAGCAAAGAATTAAAAGAAACTACATTGTAATGACAGAACTAAACAATAATTAAAGCAAGCAAACTAGAAGTTCCTCTGAATATTTACTCAGCATTCAAATAAAAGAAAAACACTTTTTTGAAAAATCCAGAATGCTTTCAACTCTGCAAGGGAGTTGTTTTGTTTTGTAGTATGCTGTTAAGCTGCTATTGTGCATCCAATGTCTCATTAAAATTGAAATACTAAGGGACATAACATATACATAATTGCAATTGCACCTTGTGTTTGACTTATGGGAAGCTACCAAAACAACTTTATCCCAATAATTATACTCTGGAAGCACAGAGAAGGGAGACAGGATAATTGATGCAGAAGCAGAAATGTGCTGCTAAAGACTGAACTTTAAATAGCACACAAATCTTCTACGTAGGCATAGTACTTTGAAATTATTTTTACTAATGTATTAAAAGGTAGTTGAGCACTGGTTTAGTGTTAACAGAAACACAAGAATAGCAAGTGTTAAACAAAAGAATTTTGTTGGGAAAAAAAATGTCGCTCATGGAGGAATTTCCTAGCTTTTGACACATAACCCCATACTTACATTGCATGACAACTGGGACGGGTAAGGGGGAAGAGATTACCAGTGAATTGATTGCACAAACAACCTGCATAATGTCTACATAGTTTCAGCTAGATCAGCTAGTTGGCCTTTTTCTATCCCCTTCATGTTATTACGTGCAAAAATTTGTTCATTTAGTACTTTGAGTTGCAGGACCCACAGATGCAGTAGTTTCTACTTCACAGTGGCATTCGATATATCATGGGAAACAGCAGCTTAGACCATGCACTCTAGGATATTCCAAGTTTGAACTAACTGAAGTAGTATACACCAGGGTAAAACACAAAATATTGATGAGGACCCGCAAGTTCAGATGTCAAAAAAGAGGAGGAAGAACATGGCCACTATTTCAGTTTCAGGCTACTCTCAGATACCAAGTTCCAGGATTGAGGCCACCCATTATGTATACAAATGGATACTGATTTCTGAACATCATCAATGTTATATTTGTGCAGCAGACTCTTGCATGAAACTATAATTCATGTTGGAGTGTATAATACCTCCACATTCTAACAAAGCCAACAATCACAACTGGGGATTTTGTAATCAATACCACAGGGGTTTCAAGCTTCAAGATAAGGGAGTTTGTTTTGTTTGGATTCACCAGCTGGAAATGTTTCTTAATTGTATACAGGCTTCAATAATCTCGATACAACACAAGGATGCGTTCCCTTATGGAGAATATGCTCAGTAAATATCCAGCAGCACGGCTGTGGCAAGGTACAAGAGAACCATTTCATAGAAACTTTTATATAATTTGAATGTAACCTAACCCATTCTTAATTACCCACATGCAACAATAAAACAGCCAGAATCAGGCAGCCATCATAGTACCAGACATGCCATCAATGGTGCATCTTATCACTTCAAAGATGGGGGCAAATAATTATCCCATCCCCAGGGATATTCACAAGTTAGTTAAACCATTTTCTTCCAATTATAGCAGGCCATTATATTAGGGGTAAAAGAGCTTAACCTGTGAGACAGTTATCAAGTCAAAGCACTGAGGAGTGCATTGGATTTGGACGTTTTGCAGACAGTTTATACTAGACACATGTTTCCGTACCTTCCAATGCAAAATATGATGGTTGTGGTGAGTCAAAGTGTCACGTGTGCTTTGGGAACTTGATACAGTAACAGAGAGGCAATTTCAAGCTTAAACTGAATATATAAACATTGTTAGGTTTCTCACTGTTCTTTTTTAGGTCTGGACTGTCCCAGATATTGTCCACCATCTGTGCTGTCCAACCACCTCTCTCTAGCTTGTGGATCGAGTAATCAAGTTACAAGTGAATAAACGTGTAGGGATCTGCTATATGCACTCCTCCTATCATAGGCTATTCTTCTCCAATGTTGCCTGCTAATTTTGCTTTCTAGTAAGCAATAACTAGAAAGAACATTGTGAACAGTTGACCACTACCAGTGCAAATGTGAGTGGCTACATTTTGAGAGTGAGAGATAAAGAAAGAGAGCAGGTGCTTGTGACAGAGAGCAGATGCAAGAGAACGAAATTGAGTAAGAATGAGAATGACTGAGAACAAGAATATGAGTTGAGGCCAAGCATGAGCAAGAGTACGAGCGTGAGTGAGCATGAGCAGGAACGTGAAAGTGAGCATGTGTAAGAACGAGCTTATATGAGAGGTACAGCATGGTTTTAACAAGTCCAAAGGCCAATTTAACAAGTACCGTGAAATTAGTGGAGGGAATGGCAAGGAAGGTTGCCATACTGGTGGATATAACAGATCTTCCAATAAGAGGACAGGTCATTGCTAATGTGCATACTGGAGTGGTGTGCCAGGACCATGCAGACGCATTCTGACATAGCTGATTCTGTGAGAAGTTGAAACTTTTGATGGCAATTACCCAGCATCTAGAACCCTCCAAAAGTATTCCCAATTCTGAGTTACAGTTGGAGGAATCTGAGTGATTTACCTCAATAGGCAAGAAAACTAAAGGAGTTGAAACCTGCTCTAACAACTAAACTGACCCTGATAACTTACCACTAACCATCCAACGACCCCAATTGTCCAACCCCTCAATACCCCTCAAACATCCAACACTCCCTCCCTAACCTTCCCCAATTCAACCCAAAGCCCAAATCCCATGAATATGATCCACCTTCAGCCCACAACCTACCGAGGCCATCGCCCACTTGTCTACCTTCCTGTTTCCACTTACATGGCATCCTCATTCCCCCATTCTCTGTCCATTTCACAGTAGTTGTCAAATTAATCTTAGAATCTTAAAACCATGGAATTACAGCCAGAAAGAAGATGTGGTTTCATCACCAACTATGTGGATTGCTGAGCTTGATTGTTTCAGCTGGAAAAATGTCAAAGTAAGTGGCCTTTTGACTGATCTGGACTGGAAATAGACTGTATGACACAAAAGCAGATAATCCTCAACTTCACTTTACTGCCTTTTGCCTATGACACTTGATTCCCCAAATGATTAGAAACTAGTCTATCTCAGTCTCTAATATACTTAAAATCCCAGCCTCTACAGCCCTCTACAATAAAGAAATTCCAGAGTTACCACCTTCAGAAGAATTCCTGCTGATCTGTATGTTAATTGAATGACACCTTACTCTAAAGTTACGCTCTCTGATCCTAGACTCTCCCATGAAGGGAAACAACCTCCCCACATCTACAATATCAAGTCTCCTAAAAATCCTGTACACTCCATTAGATTTCTCATTCTTCTAAATGCCAATGATTATTAGCTTGATCTACACAACTTCTCATAAGAAAATCCCTCCATTCCTGGGATCCATCCAGTGAATCTTCTCTGGCCTGCCTCCAATGTCAAAATATCTTTCCTTAGATAAGGGAACCAAAACTGTTCACAGTATCCCAGGTGTGGGATGATTAGCACTTTGTATAGCTTTGACAAGAACCTCTTATTTTTTAAAGCTCCATTCCCTTTCAAATAATGGCCAACATTCAATTTGCATTTCCTACTACCTGCTGAACTTGGACACTAGCTTTTTATGATTCATGGACTGGGACCCCCAAAAACCCTCTGTGCTGTAGATTTCAGCAGTTTTTTTTTCCAATTTAAATTATATTCAGCCCTTTTATTCTTTTTGCCAAAGTGCAAAACCTCATGTTTCCCCATACTGTGTTCTGTCATGTTTTTGCCCACTCACCTAAACTATTTATATCTCTCTTTAGACTCCTTGTTTCATCCCGATTACTTGCCTTCCCACCTATTTTTATGTCATCCGTACACTTGATGATGGTACAATCATTTTTGTCATTGCCATTCTGGAAACCTTTCCTGTACCTACAAATCTCTGTCATGTTAATTAGCCAACCCTCTATCCATGCAAATATACTACACCCAACACCATGGGCTCTCATCTTAATAAGTAGCTTTATGTGGGTTATCTTATTAAATGCCTTTTGGAAATCTATATATATTACATCTTCTAGTTCCCCTTACAAATATTCCCCTTTATCTATCCTGATTCTTACCTCCTTAAACAACTGTAATAAATTGGGATTCCAATCCAGATCAAAAGATTTGAATAAATGTCTTGGAATCAAAGTCTTTAAAGTTTGTACAGATAATTACCTCATGTTTTGTCATTGCTGGAGGGTAGACACACCTATTTCTGTTAATTTGCATCAGTCCATTTCATATTTTATACAACACGGCTAATCTATGTTTCCCCTTTTCGCTATAGTGGTTCTTATTCCAAATCTTTGACCAAATTATTGCATTTATATAATGTCATATTAATGCAATATAGTAGATTCTGTGCAAAGATGATCAAGGATCAATTTATACTTGTAGATCAATTTTAAACTTATTTTATTGTGTAATACAAATCTACAATCTATGATTGGTTAGAAGTTAATGGCACTGTCTCCTGATAAATTACATTGAAGGCTATGTTCCCTTGGGACTAAAACATGTATTGTTACTAATGTGTGGTTGATGAAACGAAATCCAAATATTTACTTGTTTGACTTGCTATTAAGTCTAGTCAAGAAAATACTATTTCCTTTTGTTACAATGAAAAACGTCTTACTGATGACAATTTTTTTAAAAAAGTTATCTTTTTATCTTTCATAAAGAATATGTCACTTTTATTATTACTATTAAGTTGCATCTCAGGCAGACCTTGGAATAAGTTTTTAAAAGGCTCTCAAAAGCACATTTCTCTCGTGAATTTTTGACTTGGAAGAATTGCAATGGTTTAGGTGCAGCTGGGAGGATAAAGCTCTCACAATGCGAACCAGTTCCAGTGTATATTACAAGCATATTAGGCTGATTGCTTGCAGTCTTCTTGTTTGATCGCCAATTTTAAAAAAAGCTAGTCCCTCAATTGGAGTGATATTTTACTTTTAAGTTTAATAGCTCATGTAATGGTTTCTA